TATCTTTCCGTGATTCCCGAGTTAATAGTTTACCCGCCAAAATTTTCACGAAGTCGTAGGTGATACCCGAAAGCGCGAGAACCCTGAATTTGAATAGGCAAGGTTGAGCGTGGACAGGGGGTTATTACCCTAAAATTTTAGCCTCTTAGACTCCGTGGTTTCCGAGATATTAATTTACCCCTAAAAAACTTTTACGGGATCGTACGTGTCCCGCGAGTACGGGAAGGCTGAATTTAAATTTACCGTGTCACCCGCTGCCGGGGAACACTATGCCAAAATTTCAGCCGCCTAGCTTTTGTAGTTCCCGAGTTGAAAGTGCGGAACGAAATGTGGGGCACACACACAGACAACCCCGTGACAATATGCGTTTTGTAATGCTGTTACACTGCGCAAAACGCATAATAAAAACCTGCGAGGGCTGTACAAAAAAACGCATTTTCGCACCGGCAGTCAGTAGTTTGGCTATTTATTTTGAATCCGAGAAGCCATTTTGGCCGTTGCTGCATCACAGGTTGATCCTGGCATTCAGTTTTTTTGCTTCTTTCACAGAGAGATGAGAAAAGTCGGATTATATAATATTAAATTTCTCATTGAAAATCAAACTGGGCATACTTTGCCGCCTTTTTTTCATCAAAATATGTTTAGTTTAATTTTCATCAATGCAGTACAATACTTAGTTGTCATCTTGTCGTGCGGCCCATCACCCAGTGGTTTACCTCTGTTGCTGATCCAGTGTTTTGTTTTTTTTTTCCTTTTATATGGAACGGAATTTGCAATTTTTTGAATCTTTTGCATTGATTCTAGTTCGTCCCACCAATTGGGTTCGCTCTGGCGAATGACGAGTTTTTGTGGAACAGCTTTGCCTAAGCATCAGTTTCATAAATAGGGAAATCCCAGGAGCACACTTCCTCATCCTTTCCGTTTTTCATTGCTCCCCTCCCTCTTCCAAATGTGCGTTACTTAGTTAATCGGCAGCTTTCATGCAAGGAAGAAAGTGCGCAAGAAGTCCTCCGTGTGGGAGTTCCCGAAGAACTCTGGAAGATGAACAGCGGGAATTTATGCTTCGAGATCGCCATGTAACTCTCCTTTTCTCGAAGTATAATTTAAAAAAAAATGTTATTTTTGATTGAAATTTGTTTCAGAACGTAAAGGATCGGTTCTCGAAGATGGCTGACAAATACCAGAAAATTGAAATGCTCGAAATACAGATGAGAGATATCTGTGAAAGAAAAGGTGAAAGTGTGCCAAGGAATTTGTTGAAGACGATGTGTACGTGTGCTGGAATTGGCGGTGTCCGGCTGCTTGCTGCTCGCAAAATGGATTCATGGCTACTGAACGGCAAAGTATGCCAGTTTTGTTGATTTCTTTGTTCATCGTAACGTGCACTCGTACCATTGATGGACCCAGGAGGGGTGAG